CAAAGCCCCAGTACACAATTGTGTATAGCCGTAAGCTCTTCTGGTTCTTCTATGTGAGCATGGCTACTGACAAACAAGTGGTATGGTTCTGCGCCCAGGACCGAACCCTGGCCGCCAAAGTGGAGCACAACAAACTTGAGCTGCTAGGTCATCAGGGCTGGCTCTCAAAGTGCTATCTGAAAAAAACAATGTGGTATTTTTAACAGTTTTTCTCAACAGGCCATAATATACCAAATACAAGCTGCAACATACAGCTACAAATCATGTTTCAGTAGAGGGAGTACTGGAACAGAGGCTGACAGAGGAGAAACTGATGTAAATCTAAGATTAATTCAACAAATCCAGTGCTGTATAAATTAATACGTCAATTCTCAGTAAAGCTGTTGAATATTGGTGAAAATCTGAATTTAGACACTTCTTGATACTCCCTACACAGGCACTAAATCCCACTTATAATGAGCAGCAGAGTAAATGCCAACACCATGGAGAAAGGGCTAAACTGTGTTTTTTTTGACTATGTACATGCTAACAGTGGTAACAGTCCTATGTTCTTGTAATTTGCCCTTTCCAGACAACTTTTTGAGTGTGTTAAGCATGAGAGACACAAGGTCCCAGATAATCAAATAAAGCAAACCTGTGCAAACTCACATTCCTTCAGTCCTGCTGTACCTCACCATCCCTAAAAACTTTGATCATGGGTACAATACTGCTAAGAGAACCCTTGCAAGATGTGATCGTGTGTAAAGGAAATAAGATTACTTGCAAAAAAAGATTACCCTGTAGAACAGAGTAAGTTCTAGGATCACAAATCTGTGTCCTACTTGACATCTGAGTCTTCAAGTTTAAAAAGTTTGGGCAGCAGTAGCAGTAGGGCAGGGACAATGGAGAAAGTCTGGTCCCAGGACTAAGGGAAGGACAAGAGCAAAACCAACCAGAGGAACCAAAGCCTAAAACAACACCCTATGCCGACAGGAGCTCAGGAGCTGATCTGTGGTAACTTGTAAAGGAAAATGAACCCTTAAACTAAAACAAATACAAATAACCCCGATTGCTGATGCTTCTGTCTTTTACCATATGACTCAATACAGATTAACAACTACAGTCTACTGCTTGGTATCTGTTATCTTTTTCAAAGGTTTCTGTCCAAGGCCTCACTGACTCTTCCTATGCCAGTAATTCACCATCACAGGCTATGCTTTACCCACCCTGTAGTAACCATCTTAGCAAAGGATTTCTAGTATTACAAAATTCAAAGAGGCAAGATTTGGGGAAGAAAGCAAGAGTTTAAAAGCAGAGTGGGAAAAGAAGAAAAAAGAAAAAGATTCAAGTATTTATATCATTTACCGCTAAAAACCTCCAATGACTGTCCCTGCATAGGCTTGGTCAAATAAACCCTGTTAAGCCTAACCGCCCCCCACCAAAAAAAATCATCTAGTTTCATGACCACCCCATCGCCACCCTTCACTCACTTTATGCTTCAAACACTGCTTTGATTTTTCTGTGCCTTTACACCTGCCGTTAACTCTCCTTAAATGCCCAGTATGGTAACAGAACAAAAGACTCTGAGCTTTTCTCTTTTTAAACCTGACTTTGTACCAGTGACTTGATCATTTAACTGCTGTAAGCTGTTTCCACAGAAGAGGCCCTGTTTCACACCTATTTCAGAGGTGGAAAGATCAAATGATATAACATATGTACAGTAACAGCAGGATGTCCAGAACATACTGAAGCACTAAATAAGTACTAGTTCCTTTCCAGGCTCCCTCTACACTTGCTGAACTCCTACTCATCCTTCAAACCCCAGTTTAAACGTGTTTCTGTAAAACCTCCTTAATTCTGTGCTCTATTTTCTTCCCCCCAAAAGAATCAATTGCCCATCTTGTATGCTTCCCATGGCACTTAGAGAAACCTCTATTGTATTTTAATTGCTTGTTGGAGGTCTTTCTGTTGCATTAGAGAATGAAGACCCCTAGGGTGGGATTTTTATCTAATTACTGCCTACTCCAAATCTGACAGAATCAGTAATGGAAGCTTAATTAGCATTTGCTGAATAGATAAATGAATGATTCCATGAAACTGTTACCAACTAAAACCCTTAGACGGCCTTTCAAATATTTTATAATACTTTTTCTTTTAAAGAACAATCCTAACTTAAAGTGGTACCCTACCAAGCCATGGAATTATTTCTTTAATGTTTCTGCTCGCTATTCATCCAATCAGCAAGTGCCTCCCATGGGCTAGGAACACATTAGAGAACAAAACGAACAAAAAACCCTGTCCCCATGGGCCTTATATCTACCACAGGTAAATCTGTGGAAGAAAGAAATGATCATTGCAAACTTGTCTGAACAAGAGACCAGAAGGCACACTTGGTTATTCATCAACATTTACTAAGTATCAGAAAAAAAAACTCCCGACCACACAAAAAATTTAACTACTTCAAAAAGGTATCATGAAATTAACCCAGATTTAGTGTACTAAACCAGCAAAACTGACTTAGTGTCCCTAAAAAATGCTCACGTTAAGGACCCATTTCCTGATAGCTAGATGCGTATTTCCTTGTAGAAATAATTCTGTGACTTCTCTTTTGGTAGGTTAGTAATCTTCGTGAGTTTTAAGGATTTTACATGTATAATTACATGCTTTGCATAGACCCTAATTTGAAATGCGGTGGTGGTGTTCCTCGTGGCCTATTTCAAAGCCTGTTTATAACCTTAAAACACTCATTTTATAAGTGAAGAGGAGCTTTTATGAAACTTTCTATCAGGGCTTGTATTCTGAGGAGTGTTGTCCCCAGGAGTGAGATGGGCCATCCCAGGACTAAATCAGGATCATGTCCCAGCGGGGCTGCCCTGTCGGCAAGCGGCCCAGGTGCCACAGAACGAGGCTATGTGACAGAGAGGCGTCCACGGTTCCTGCACACCACCCTTTCTGATCTTACCTCGGGCTTCAGCCTCTGTTGCGTCCACCTTGTTCCCCAAGCAGGCCCTACACTTTCCTTTATTCATTCCCTGGCTTAGAAGGTCCTTTCCTCATTTCTCCTGTTACAATACTACTCCTGCATCAACATACCATTTCCATCAGGAAGAGCCTCTGGCTTCCCTCCGCTGGGGGTAACGGTACCCTGCCCGAATTCACCAGCCCTCGAGAGCCCTTCCTAGGGAGTTCAGCAAGTTCTACCAGCCTTTAGTCCCACCCAGTCACTCTGCCTGGAGTAGAAGCTCCTCACCGTTCTGCTCACATCTGGAAGGAGACCCGACATACCACAGGGGCTCAAATTTCCTATCAGATAAAAGAGTAATCATAATATGCAAATACCCAACACTTGCCAGAGCTAAACACTACAGGAAGCTTCATGCAGAGATTTCTGCCAAACATCATTCAATTTTGAAATCACAAATAAGATTCAGTCGTACTGAACAAATCTTGCTACCTAAAATGATGTTATTTCTATGTCAGAAGAAATAAAAAAGGTGGTCCAGGTGTTCCAAGCAGAGAATGCTAAGAATACTGAGAAAAGAACCCTGATCATTTGACTTGAACCACAAGTTATTTGCTGAGGGATCCTGAAGGCTCAGGGGGTCCCCATACAGAGGTTTCATTTCAGCTGGACTTTTTGCTCATTCTGGACTTTAATGTGCCAACTTAACATTTTACTGAGAGCTTTGCCTGGCTTCACTAATTACTAGTACAATAAACAAACAAAAGGAAGGTCAGTGGTGACAGATTTTGGATATAAAGTGCAATGAGCTGGGTTCTAGTGGTTCCTACATGTGGAGTGGTACCAATGGGGCTCCCTTCCCCTTGGAGCCTACAGAGAAGGGGAGAAAAGCATAAACATCAAACAAGTAGGGAACAGACAGATCATCAGGAGACCCAGGTTTAAAGGGCTTTCATCAAGCCCCAGCCACAGGGAAGAAATACTTCAACAGCACCCTAAAGGAAACAAAAAACTGAATTATGAAACGAAACATTAAAAAAGCATCAGCAGTGTGTCTTAGAAAAATTACTAGTGAGACTTAAGTCTCACCCCCCACTTTCCCTCAAAAGTGCTTTCTAATAATACTGAGTACATTCCAAATAGCTTTCCTCTGCCAAGAACTTGCCAATTGTATCTCCCCTGCTCAGCCACCGGGGTGAAAAATCAATGCCAGGGGAACCTTAATCCCTTCATTTTTGAAGTAAATTGCAAACATCTATCTTGCTGGGCATTTATCCACAGGGGGAGTAGCTCCTAAATGAATTTAGGAAGTGAACATGACCTTTAATAGATAATTTGGTTCCCAACCAGAAAGCAGGAGAGGCAAAACAAAGAGGAGAATGGGTGAACATGGACTTAAAGGAAAAGGTTAGAAAAACAGAGGAACAAGAAATTTATTTGGGAAAAGGATGAAAGCAAAAGGCAATACAAATAGTAAAAGCAAAAAGAGAGAAAAAGGATACCCCACCTGAAGATAAATGACTAGAAAAGGAGAGAGAGAAGGAGTGGCAAAGAACAAGTTTTCGAGTCCAGAATTATTTGTTAACTTTAAAAATTATCTTACTGTGACTTTAAGACTGACTGGGTTCGGAGTCTGGAAGCCTAGAAAAGGAAAGGGGCTAGCAGTGGACAAACAAAGTTAGACAATGCAGGAGAGTAGAGATCTTCCCTGGTAAGCTCTCTACCGGCATCAGGTAGGGCTAGATCAAGGGAAAAGCTGGTGATGAGCGGGGTTCCTGGAAATGCTGAGAGGCAACCATCACTCGGATTAATTTGTCCGTGGGCGATGGAAGATTCCACGTGGGCTTGGGGGATACCACAATGAAACTTCTCTCCCCCCCAAAACCCGGGGGTGCCTTGGGGGCCGGACTAACAGATGGGCTCTTGGAGCACGAGATGTATTCTTGGGACCCGGCAAAACCCGACGGGGACCCCGGAGGGGCAAAAGGAATGCATCGATCAGGGTCAAGGGCGGTGACGCCCGGGGCCCCCGGACGCCCCTCGCGGAGCCCGAACTCACCGATGCCGAGCCCCACGACCAGGCGGCCGGCGAGCAGCGTCTCCTTGTTGCTGGCCGCGGCCAGCACCGCGGAGCCGGCGGTGAAGAGGGCACTGGCCAGCAGGATGGCGGCGCGGCGGCCGAAGACGCCGTTGAGGGCCCCGCCGGCCAGCGCCGCGACGGCGGCCGCCCCCACCGTGCTGGACACGAGCATCTCCTGCCACAGCGCGTCCAGGCTGAGCTGCCGCTTGAGCAGCAGCATGGCCCCCGACACCACCCCCGTGTCATAGCCGAACAGGAAGCCGCCGAGCGCCGAGAAGACGGCCACCACGTACACGAAGGCGGGGGTCTCGTCCTGCTGGAACTGCCGCCGCGCCGCGCGCTCCAGGTCCCCGACGCCGCCCGCGCCCGCGCCCTGCAGGCTGGCGCTCGACTCGGCGGCCGCCAGGAGGCTGCGCTCCCCGGCCGCGCTCGCCGCGTCCGGCTCCTGCTGCTTCCTGCGCCGCTCGCCCATGAGGCTGCTCAGGCTCCGCAGCGTGTACTCCACATTCTCGCTCGCCTTGCGGGACATAGGGCAGGGGCCCGGGGCCGCCCGGGGGGACGAGGCTCCGCGGGCCGG